AGAGGATCACAACCATCAGCCAAATTTTGACAACACAGAGTCCTCAAAACTACAAAAGATTAAAAAAAGGAGGTGAAAACAAAAGTGTAACTGTTGGATGAGCTGTTATAATCCCTTTCATTGCTCTGGAAAAGAGATTGACAGGGATTGTTTTAGGCATCTCTAGACTTCTTCCTGTTAGTGTTTTTAACTGTTGACCTCAGTTCTGAAATTCTCACACCCTTTCCCAAACTAAGCCTTCATTTTTTGATCTATGGCAGGACTCCTCCATTTTTTTTCCCTCCAGGATGTGGAGAGCAGAGGGTCAAAATGACAGGAAATTAATAGTTATTATCAAGTGTTCATCATCTCCACTTCCATGAGAAGGCAAAGTAGTCACTTATTGAGAAAATTAATTATGTAAGTAGTCTGAGCCTGGCAGTGGGCCTTTATTTCATTAGAAATTAAAATTAATGTGGTTGATCAAAGGTCTGCACGAGTCAATTGCTCAGTGAGGCAGGGACAGCAGAATCAGTGGCCTTGACCTAGCAGGATGTCCATAAAGCAAGGAACAATGCATCAAATCTCACTATTGTTTCTTGTAATGGACAGGTGCAGCTCACTTGGAAGTTGATTCAAGGACTCTAACTATAGCTGATCTGTTTAATGAACAGGGGAACTTCTATTTGGCCACAAAAAAAAACCCCAAAACCCAAACAAACAAACAGAAACCCCTACAAGAACAAAAATTAACCTGTTACAAATAGTTTAACACAATAACTTTGGCAAGTGACAGGGCACAAATGTAGTCATAGATATAATTTATTCAGACTGAAGTACTTACTGCTATTTACAAAGTCAGGCTGAGTGTATGAACAGAAAGGACAGAATCTTAGTGTATATATCTAAGGGCTTTTAAAGAGGATTACCTGCAGTTTACCAAACTGAAACAGCTCAAGATTAAGGGCAAAAAAAAATATCTGTGGATTCCACAACAGCTAGGATTTCATCAATAAGGAAGTTATGCTTAAATCACCAGCTGATACATTACTGGGAAATATCAGGGTACAAAAGGATATTGAATGCACAACTAATTTCCTTCTGTGTTTGTTAATAAATTTAGCTTAGATAAATATTGTGAAATGAGGCACCAAACATGCAAAAGGCAGTACTCTCAGATGTCAAAGTGTACTTTAAATAAGTCCACCTTTTGCTGGACACCACTATAAAACTGCACAAGAATCATCAGGAATGATTCATGGATCTGATACAAAAGTCTTCCAGAAGGAACTGAGCTGCTGCCTTTCCTCTGCTGCCTTCAAGCTTTACCAGGGAGGCAAATCCCAGCATAGGCTTCCTCCTCGTGGAGCTTCCTGCCTCTGGCTTCCTACCCCACCTCTGCCCACGCTCCAGAGGACACCCTGGCCACTCAGACAGCTTTTCACCCGCCTGGATGTAGAGCTGATCATCCTGATTTTTAACCATAGAGCCTTTCCGGTTCTTTCAGTTAAACTCGAAGTTCACAATGGTCCCTTCTGATTTCACATTGTGTGAATCCTCTCCCTCTAGACAGTCACTTCCCCTCCATCCGGCTGGGGGAGTGAGTCACCTACCTCGGTGAATCAGCAGAACCTGCTTAACCCCTTCCCAGAAACCTGACCAGGGGGTGGTTCAGATGCCGTTGCCAGCCCTAGGGAGGGCACTGGCAAAGGTGAGGATAGGCTGGGAGCAGAGATTAGAGAGGCTGCTTCTGCTCATTAGGAAGTTTAAAGCCAAATTTTGGAGGTATAAATAGAATCCATGTCAAAGATAAGGGAAAAAGTCTAGACCTTCACCCTATGGTTGTCATACAAGCCTGAGAGATT